TATTGATTTTTTTCTTTTATATTAGTTATTCCTGAAAAACCTTGGACTGAAAAAATAAAAAAATTGCATGGACCTGTTAATAGTAAACGTGGATAGAATGAAGTCTTTTTCATAGACCCCAGTTCAGTTGTTTTTTTTTTTTTTTTGAGCACACACAGAGTTCTTCCAAGCAAACATTTGCAACAGGTGACTGAGGCAGGAGTCTGGAGAACACATCTGGCCCAGATGTTGCTGGAAAGCCACACAGCTTTCCATAAAAATATACCACACATCTGTACGTCTGTGAGCACAGAAACACAACTCTTACGTGCACCATTTTTACCTGCTCCAAGGTAAAAATCCACACACCACAAATAACTGACCAGTGAGTCGCAATGGCCGTGGGAGCACTGACTGGACGTGATACTGCAGCACGTTTTAAAGGAGTGAAACAGAAGCACATAGGAGAGCATAAGGAGCAATCACTTGAATGAGTCACATGCTCCGTTTCCATGCACCGACAGTTTGTTGAGTCTGAAACACAATAAAATAATGCACTCTGCTGGTTCAGTTCCTTGCACACTGTAAGTTACAAATCTACACAAAGAAAATTGCTGCTCATAGCCAAGTCATTCGGAGAGCAAGTATGAGATACATTAGCCAAAAAAAGGAAAGTAGTGACAGAAGGTCCCCTGTTGCCTTATCACAGGTTTAGTATCCCTATATATGTTCTTGAATGCAGATTAGGTGATAAAGGTTCTCCAGTAGGAGTTAAAAATAAACACTAGGGACTCCCTAATACTTACAGTTCAATTGCATTGCCCCATAACTTCCTGAAGAATGGAAAGTTTAAGAAAAATAGAGGTTTGTTCTTTCTGGTTGGACATTTTAAAGTCATCTTTTGTAAGACCACATAAAATGATTTAATTCTCAAAGAATAACTGAATTACATAAATAAAACATTACACAAAAGACATCTCAGTACAATTTATGTGAAGTGAATTTCACAAAGACCAGTCTATTGTAGAAAACTCAACTTATCTCTTCCTGATGCTTTTATTCTATCTAAACATAGAAATTTATGTCAGTTCAAAAAAGTCTATTACTGTTTCTCATAACTGAATCCATTATTTTCCCTCCATGACCCATCAGGTAAAAACAAGTGCAATAGATAGCTCTAGCAGAACCTTGAACATAAAAGGCCTCAAGAATAAAATGAGAAAAGTTAAAGCCATCTCACCTTGCACTATAACTGGAAATTATAGCCTTGACGTTTAATTTAAATCAAGTCATAGCAAAGACTTTTGACTATAATTATCTGACATATAAATAAAATTATTATAAAATGAAATTGTACTTGGAAAGGCATAGTTTTGTTTGTTGCATTGCCTGTAAGCAAATTGAACTCTGCAAAGTTTTATCACCCTTTGCTGCCTTCTTCCTCCAGTCTTTCTTGGTAATGGAACCATTTCACTAAAAAAAAAAATATGGAGAGAAAAAGCTGGAAACAAATTATTAATTTTCCATATTACTCTTTATTTCCAGAGCCTTGCTGATTCCATTGCATCGGTGATTTTTCTCTCCTTTGTTCCCCTGCCAGCTCAGGGAAAAAAGAGATCCAAAATTAGAGCTCATATTAGAATGACAGCATTTCACTGGTATAGCAGCAGTTTATGGACAGGAAAAATAAGGGAGCAAGTGTAAGCGCATGGATTTAAACCAGAAAGAGGAACCATAGCAGCATCTGTGGGTTCCAGGCTTGGCCTCAGCTGGATTGTTGATAGTGGCAAAGGGGCTCTACCAGCCACCAGACTTTCTCAGAGCAACCCAGTACAAGAGAAAAATGAACATCCTGGACCCATAACGTACCTGCCTTCCTGCCTTTCCTTGCTTTCCACTTCTGCTAAGACCGTGCACCGGTCGCTGGACACACAGCGATGGGGTGGAGATGGTGTTCAGGATTAAGAGAGACTGCGCCTCTTCACCTACAGTACATCGCCTTGGGGAGGCCAAATATGCACAGGCTGCCTCTAAGATGAATACAAAATAAACTAATTTCTTTGGTGCAAGGCCTATAATGAGACTCACCAAAGTGAACCCACCTCCTGCCTTCAGCCAGCACTGCTGCTCGGCTCCCACCCTGGGCCAGCACGCTCTAGAGGCAGCTGGCAGACCCCAACTTCGCTAACGAGCTGTGGCTCTGCAAGCACGCAGAGAGAAAGCAGAAGAGATAAAATGGCAGGATGCAGCAGCAGGGGAACACACCTGCCGGCAGCAGCAGGTACCCGGAGGCCATCACACGCGGGCGCCCGCTCCTCACACAGCTCAGCAGGGTGCAGCTCACTTGCAGCTTCTGCTCCTCTCAGCTACAGGTGGGTCATGAGGCCACACTTGGCAGAGGGAGCTTGAAACAGCTAATTTCAGTTTGCAACATGTGGGTTATTACACACACCCCTCAGCAAAGAGCCTCATTTCTCCTGGATGCCTTTACAGCAGCGAAGAGAGAGAAGCTTGTCAGGGATGCTTCAGAGGTGAAATGAAATTTTGGTACACCATCTCAAGGAGCCTCTCTCTCTCCTTTGACTATAGGAGAAATCAAGGAGACAAAGTACTCAGCTACGTGAACAGACCTTCCATTCTCTATGTGTTGGTTTAGGAAGGTATTTATTGTACAGGTGTGCTTTCTTCAGAATTACTGGTGTCGCTTCAGTGGAGTCCTACAAGATCCTGCTGACTTGCACCCGAGGGCAGAGGCCAGCACAGAGCAGCTTGGACCAGTTGGTATAATGTGGAATTCCGAATAATCTGCTATTTCCCTGCTGTCGATTTTTTTTTTCCTGGCAGCTTATCTCCTGTGAACTGCACACATCTGTGCTTTTTAAGATTATGTTTCTTCTATCAACAGTTTTTTTGAGTTGGGCGAAGTCAGCTTTTATTCGCAGCATTCTTAATGTTTTCAGTCTGAAAAATCATGTTAGAAATAGTGCTTGAACATCGAGATTGCAAGTCTGATGCAGAGATCTTTCCAAATAAAAACATTCTTATTCTCTTTACGTAAACTTACTCTGTGGGATTTGCTAACTTCATACTATAACAGTGTTAAACACAGTTTTCCTAGGCAGATGAGAGATGCCTGGATGAAGGTCTGATAATCAGAAATAACACCTTTTGGGGGCCATGAGCCAGCAGCTAGCATGAGTCTCAAAACAAACATGGATGGAGGACAGCAGGAGACTTTGCCTGGGAGTCTCCCAGTTCTTTCCATGCCAATTCTTACCGGGATGGGTTTGGCAAAGCCCTTTCACCTCTTCTTTCAGAGTGAAAGATTACTTTCCAAAATCGCATGGATTCCCTGACAACTAATTATCGCTGTATTGTGCCTTACAAATGTAATTAGTATAAAGAGGGCTAGTAGGGAGAAACACTGCATGGAAAATGAAGGTGAACGGAGACAGAATGCTAGAAATACTCTAAGTCTAGTAAGATAGAAAGAGGAGAAAAACAATAAATAAGGAAAGGACTTTTGAATAGCGAGTACATAAAAGATGTGTATGAAAGAAAAAAAACAGGTGTGCTGGCTTCCAAAAGTAGAGGAGGGGAAAAGGAAATTAAAAATTAGAAGCAAGGCTCTGAGATGAATGGATTTCGAGTATAAAGAGAAGAAAATAAAATGAAAAAGGTGTAATAAAAACCGCCTAGCCTGTAAAGTAATGAATCTTTTCATTTATTTATACCCTTTCTTGATATTAGAGGAAAATGGTAGCACACTTATACTGAGCTCACACTATGTTAACACAGTACAGATCTTAATTCCTGGATTATGTTGTTAAATAATTAACTGATGAATCATAAGTAAATAATTGGAACTTGGTTCTCTAAGCCTCACAACTGAGAACATAAAACTGTCACAGTGATATCAGATTTTAACAGAACTGATATTGTAGTTAATTAGAAAAACTGGAAAAAAAATATAAAATCTATAGCTGTAAAGACTGTTAGCAGCATCACCTGGGCTCCATTTCCCTATGGAACAAAATAAAATGGATGATCTATTATTTAAATCTCCTATATTAAAGTTACATCTGGAGAAGATGGAAGCATGGAGTGTCAGTTCCTCGGCAAAATACCTAGACCTGCCCTGGGCCTTGTCTTCTTGGAGAGGGTCTGTGATTTGGGCAGCAGGATAGGAAAGGGTGTCGCTCTAAAAGGCTAAGGCAACCTCGAGTTCATGTTGAAATATCTTTGCCTCCAATATTCCTAAAATTAAGAACTATAAACCAAACCCTTACACTTCAATGGACAGTAACTCATCAGTTCCATGCACTATTTAACAACATTAAGAAAAAACAGCTCCAAGAGTCTAATAATAAATGTGTTTATTCATGTAAAAGAGGAACAGCAGACAAACTAAAAAAGATCACTGTTTGCATCCAGAGAACAAAATAATTCCCTTTTTCCCATGAACATCTGTTTTATTTTCTGATACAGCAAAAGCACATATACTTCAAGTCTAAGCAAGACAATTAATCTGGATTCTGCCATCATCACGGTCACGGGATTACTTTTTTTTTTTTTACAATGAGAGGACCCTGGAAGCACAGATCCTGCTGTGCAGAGCCATCACACTCCTTCACGGGAACAACCTGGTAGGAATCAAAAATCTAAGGAGCAGCAAATGTTTATTCCAATAAAGAAATGGCAAAACGCTACAATGGTTACTGAATAACACTCTTTTCATTTGCTCATTCTTGCCATCTGTTGTTTAAAAAATAAATAGAAGACATTTTATTTTTTAGAAGCCCCCACCCCTCCAGCTTCCTGATGCTCAGTCTTGCAGAACGCTTGCCAGCAGCAAAAATTTTTCAGTGTCTTTGAGTATCGGCGCGGGGATGAAAACGTACCAGAATTCCTCAGCACCCCCTAATAACCTCCACGTCTGAGGTTAGGCTGGTTTCACAGCACACACACACCCCCGTCAGCCATGTTTGCTGGCGTCTGTCCCTCAGCTCCCACCCAGGGCTTCATGTCACCACGGCCTGGGCATGGGCGTAGGAAGAAGTGTTGGTCTCGAAGTAGCACTCCAGCTGCCCGCAGAGGGCCCGGAAGGTGGGCCGCCCGCCCGCCTCCGCGCCCCAGCACTGCAGCATCAGCTGGTAGAGCGGCTCTGGGCAGGCCTCCGGCCGGGGCAGTCTGTACCCCTGGTCCAGCATCTGGATCACCTGGTGTCCCGGCATACCTGCAGGCCCAAAGGGGTTCGTCAGGCTACTCGGGGTCTGCGTAGTGACGCCGCGGGTCCCTGTCCCTTACTGAGGCCAGGCCGCGGGATGCCCCCCCGCGAGGTACACGCGCACGCCGGGGGCAGAGCTGGCCTCAGCAGGCCCCCTTCAACGGCAACAGCCCGCAGGAGTCACCGGAAGATCCCAAACCAGCAGTTAAAAACCTCCTCCATCATTTCTCGGCCCCCTCACCCCGACTGTGCCGCTCTGAGAGGCGTAGCAAACGGGTTTGTCTGGGTGTGAGGCTTTCCCTCTGCCACCTGGGCTTGCTGAAATTTTTTTCTGACACTTATTTTGCTTAAATTGTTCCTAAATCCCTCTAGTCTCAGTGACTTCAAAATCTCCCAAGAAAATCCATCCTGCTGCTGAATTTTCCTCACATTTAACAAGTTTTCCCTAACGTCAGCCCTAAGGTTCCTCTGGTGCAGCTATGTGGTGGCATCCTGCCTGCGCTGTCACCGCGGGTCACGGAGAACCATTCCCCTTCCTTTGCTATACCTTTATATATTAAGACTATAGTCCTGCTCCTTTTCAATTTTCTGCTCTTTAAATCTTGAATTGCATAATCTTTACTTCTTTTCCTTAGATCTCTGAATGGTGTTTCGTCTGTACATTGCCCACTGCCACCATGGATCAACATAACCTCTACTCCTAACTGATTACTGAGGTCGAACTCCTGAAAGTAATACCAAGTAAGCAAATAGCCCTGGCAAAAGGACATTTTCTACTGTAAAATTTCAGGTAAACTATGCCTTTGCCAAGGGGTAACACTGAACATATTTTCAGAAAATACCAAGAATCATGGTGTTACATATCATTTATAACAATAGTTTATTTATGTGTGTGTATGCATATGCACACAACTACAGTTTGTATAAGAAAGAGTTGAGGATTTTTGGCTTTGGTTTTGTGGTTGGTTGGGTTTTTTCTCAAGAACAGTTTCACAGGAGGTGAGGGTGGGAATGAAAAAGCAAAATCAATTTTTCCTTTACAGGAAATACCAGTTTGGGACCCTGTGAAATGTAGTTTATGGCGAACACACCACCCCTCAGGCCTGTACAGATGCAGCATAACTTTTTTTTGCTTTAGTCCTTCCCTTGTGTTCTCCTCACTGGCACAAAATGAGTCACAGTCAATCATCTCACTGATATCTTGTGTTACTGCAGCCACAGTTCCTTGAGCATTTCTCAGACTGCTAGGAATTATAGCTGCTCTCATACTATTAGATCTACTTTTTAGGTTGGTGACATTTTATTCCTAATTCTTGTGATCCTTCTCTTTATGAAGACTTTCCACTGCAATAGCCAAATGTGAGGGAAGGGGATAGAAACTCTCTGATTCATTTTTCAGACACCATCCTCCTGAAGTGCCTTGTGCAGCACTCCACACATAATAATCTGTCCTTCCATGAGATTTCCTCAAAAAAATAAATTAAAAAAAAAAAAACCCAAGGGCAGGAGGGGGGACAGAAAAACCTTCCGTTTTTCTACAGTCCGAGAATTGGCATCTTTGATCTGATGCTGGAGGGAAATAGCCAGTTGGTTTAGGTGCCTGTGCAATGCAGGTTGACTCCAGTGAGGGGAAGCTTGAACGGCTGCTAATCCCAGCCTTTGGAAAGCTTCCAGGGAGCCTGGGGTAGCCAGAAGGTCTGACCCACTAAAAGGAGCTCATCTGAACAGCATTCTTTCTGTGTTCACAGTTTTAGCCCTTTAACATGCTTGTAGTACAGGCATTCAACCTTTTTGTTTGTCCTTCTTAAAGCAAGAAAACATTAGACATCATTCTTCAGGTAAAAGCACTTACCAGCATAAGGCATCTTCCCATAGGTGACTATTTCAAACAGAAGTATTCCAAATGACCAGACGTCCGACTTAATGCTGAATTTGTTGTAGCGGATTGCCTCCGGGGCTGTCCATTTCACTGGGAGTTTTGTTTCATGCCTGGCTTCATATATGTTTTCATTTTCTACCTGTCATGGGTAAAACAAAGCAAGCCTGATTTCAGATCTGCTTCACCAAAGCACTTAAGCACCTGACTAAGCTAAGCATGTGCTTAATCTTATCCACTTTTAGCCAAGCATTTGCCTTTCATGGTATTAAAGCACGCACTTTCTAAAGTCTATTGTTGAATTGAGTTTCACAGTTGAGAAATGCTACCGTTCATTGGAGGCTTTTCTAAAGCATTTATCATTTCAAGCGAGCACACAGTGTTGGAGTGACTTGTGATTAATTATGACCTGCTACTGTGAATTCTGGACCTGGCTTGCAAGACTTCAAACGTCTGTCAGGAGTGACAGTGTAAGCTTCCTGCTGACACTAGAAATTAAAA